CACAGTACTGCAGAGTGCAGCCTTTACACAGCCACTGCAGCGCTCCACTGCCAGAGCAGAATGTGCCCAGGACTCACTGCAGGATCCTTTCCTATGCCCAAAGAACCCTGATCAAAATGAAACTGCACGCAGGATGTTTTCACTCCGTATCTCTTTACATCCTGAGAATGCAGGGTCCTGTTCTATGGAGACAGTGACAAACTTCTCCATAGCATTTTCAGCATTATTAATTTACTACACTAATAATTCAGACAGAAAAGTTAAAAGCATTCCATATGTAAAAAGAAGCCAACCAAAAATCAACTTCCTTGTTTGGTTGAAACCAGGCTGAAATATTTCAGCTCCCATAGAATATTTATATACCATATATACCTAGCTGTGTCCTGGGCTGCACCCAGAGCAGGGTGGGCAGCAGGGCGAGGGGGGGATTCTCCCCCTCTGCTCCGCTCTGTGAGACCCCCCTGCAGGGCTGGGTCCAGCTCTGGGGCACCAACAGCAGAAGGACACGGACCTGCTCGAGCGGGGCCAGAGGAGGCCACGGAGATGCTCGGGGTGCTGGAGCCCCCCCTGTGAGGACAGGCTGAGAGAGCCCGGGGGTTCAGCTGGAGAAGAGAAGGCTGCGGGGAGACCTTAGAGCGGCCTCCCAGGGCTGAAAGGGGCTGCGGGAAAGGGGGGAGGGACTCTGGATCAGGGGTGTAGGGATAGGACAAGGGGTCACGGGTTTAAACTGAAAGAGGGGAGATTTAGATGAGATGTAAGGAAGAAATTGTTTGCTGTGAGGGGGGTGAGGCCCTGGCACAGGTTGCCCAGAGAAGCTGTGGCTGCCCCCTCCCTGGTAGGGTTCAAGGCCAGGTTGGACGGGGCTTTGGGCAACCTGGGCTGGTGGAAGGTGGCCCTGCCCATAGAACATCCTGACTGGATGATCTTGAGGGACTCTTCCAGCCCAAACTGTTCTATGATTCTGTGATTCTATGAATTATTCTCAAAGCAAAAAAGCATACCAGTTACAAAGACAGAATACCATTCTGAAAGTCTGTTATGTCACTTCAACATAAAAAGTACTGTACTTCATTTACAAATGTAAATTCTGTCTTACCTTGATAATACTTCCAATATGATTCTGTTGTATTAATATATCAGTTAATTCAGCAGTGTTAACAGGAGCTTTTAAAAACAACTGGAAGAGAAGAAACAAGTATTAAGAAATTTTAGGCCTGATGATATATCATAAGTCACTTAGTTGAAAATGAAGTCAGTAATTTCTCTAAATTGTTATGCAATGTTCTGTTCCATTTTTAATTTCCAGTAAGTTTATTTAACTTCACTCAATATAATACTGTAAAGACTAAAGATCAGCTTCTTGAAGCGCTTGCTCCTCACCCCTCCACAAGCTGGTATTTTGCCTATCTGCTATCCTTTTGAGCTTGGTATGATCTGAATGCTTGCTGAGCACCGGTTTCCAACAGAAACAGCCAAAAGAAGACTGGAAGCTGCCATGTCAAACAGATACATTACTTGTTTGTCTCGTTTTTAAGGGCTGCAATTTAAAAAAAAAAAAAAACCAAAAACCAAACCTCCAGGAAGCTGATTAACATTGAACCAAGTTTTCTGGAGAGCAGCTAACACAATGAAGACAGAAAGACTACACGCACTGTGGAAGAACAGCCCTCAGTTCGCTGGGTAAACTTCTTGAAACGAAAGTTTAGGAGATACATGCTCACTGTGTCTCTAATTATTTAAATAGCTGAAGGACAGCAAAACCATGAATCAACACAGATAATGTGAACTGATGACTTTGCCTAACTCTTTATCAATAGATATATCAACCAAGTTAACAAGAAGTCAAAGTACCTGTTGTAGTAATTTCTTTATCCCATTATAGTCATTGTCTGATATGGAATGTGCTTCAAATTCAATATTCACTTCCTATGAAGAAGTAAAACAGAGATTATAAAAAATACTTGGCAAGAAACTGTATCAAAACAAAGCTAAAGTATAAGAAGCTTGAAGACAAGTAATGGTGGACATCAGAATTGGTAATTATTTCCATCTTTCAGTAATCTCAGCAATTGTTAAATTATAATTTCTTCTGTAATCTTTAAAGAGCATCTGTGAAAGTAACTTTTTAAAACTGACTTACAAACTGTTGTGAACAAACCTTTAATGCTTTGTTCCTGCAATCTGGTTCACACAATTACGTTTATCGTAACCGCACAGGCTCTTACTGTAGAGAGGCTCGATCCAGGCAGTTAAACTCTTAAAACTGCAGGACTGGAGTGTAATGCCTTGGCTAAAGATGAAGATTGCTGCAGACATTTAAACAATTACATCCAAAACCATACTTCTGCTATTTCATCAAATCCTAATGGTACCATTAACCCCACTCTGGAAGTCTGTTCAGTAGTCACAGGAGACCCAGTCACAGCAAAACCAGAATGTGAACTCCTGCTTCTCCTTCCAGAACAAATGCTGTGCACCTACCAAATGTTTTTAATGGTATTCTGTATTAATGGTACTGCCTGCCAAGGCTGCCTGGCCTACCTGTTCTGTAACCTCTTCAAGATCATCCACATTTACTTTGTGTCTTTTAATTGTTGGTTTGGATTCCACTTTCTGAACAATCTAAACAACTGAGCCTTACTTTTGTCACCAATTAAGACTCACAAATCTCTCCAATCCCATATCAAGGTCATGGTCTTTATTGTCAACTGGGAGAACAGCCTTAAAAACCTGTTTACAATGTAGAAAACAAACATACAACCCCTTGGGGGGTGGTGGTGGTGTAATTAAAATCAGGAGACATGCTCAGATATTCTTCTATGGTCTAGTAAAGCAATGAAGCTCCACAGAGGTAACTGAGAGCACTTTATTTACTCGAGAAGCTACCTATATAAGAAAACAGATTGTATCTTCGGTGTATAGAGCATTCACACCTGGCATCCAGGAACTTTCTGACTGCTTTAAAATTCAAGGATCTCACTGAATGATTAAGCTAATAAACTCTGACCAAAACACAGTTTACAGTGGTTCTGAATACTGTGCAAATCATAGCCATAAAATTGATATAAACCACAGGAGCACTAGATGTTCTAGCATTGGTTTTGCTTCATGGCTTTTCCACTACCCAGAATAACAGCCCTGGATGAGAGAGTTTACAAACCCTCCATCTTTCATCGATTAAAAAAAGAAAAAGCAAATAAAGACTCATCATATATTTTGCATGTCCTGTCTTGCTACTGTGTGCTTATTCTCCTCCCCCGGTGCTGCATCCAAAACAAAGAAAGAGCCTGCAAAGCAAGTTATTATACTCTGCTACGTACAACACAGAGGTGAGCAAAGCTCCTTTTCAGCAACCAGGCCCTACCTCGCAATTATATTGTTGTGCTCAGATTGACAGAACTACCACACGCTCATTTCTATGAAGAAAATATCTGCATAAAGGAAGCGATTTTCCTTTTTTCCACTTGTGGTAAGAGGCAAAGAGAAAGGCTTCATATGGCAAAAATAAAAATGCTGAGAATTACAGAGAAACAAATTCTCTTTAAGTACATGACTTTACAAATTTCTGAGTTTGTACAGTTAAAAATGCCCAGTACGTTTCTTTAATATTAGCAATGCACACCTTGATGTCTTACAGAAGACTTGAGGGAGATTCAGTATACCTTTGTATCAAGACTTCCAAACTGAAATAGATGTAATAGTGATATACCATCCTCAAAAGCTGGACTACTAAATTAAACTAAGTGTTATACTGCAAATGGTACCCAGCGCACAAACAATTGCAAATAAAACACAGTAGGGCACAGCAGTGCAGGGATACACAGAAACCACCGCCAAAACTCCTGTCACTGAAGAGTCAAGAAACTTCATCTACAGACACCACAATATAAACCAGTGTCCCACCTATGTTATGCAGGAATGCTGTGCACTTTAACAAAAAGAAAAAAAATATATTATTGCCATTAGCTTTAATTTCATAGTGTGTAGACACCAGTGTAACATCTTGTATCAGTTTACAAACACAGAACAGTACACAAAATACTAGCAGAGCTACTCAAGAACTTTATAAACACGCTAGCTCAAAGTCAGCACCCATTTAATGTGTGTTAACATTTCTAGCAAAAGATAAATGTGCTCTTCCATCATGTCAGTATGACTGGTAACACAATTAAACCTACACTTTTAATCATGACATAGTTTCTAAAAAAGGTAGGTTTTGTTTTTGTATTTCTTTGCATAAGCTAAGGCCTCATCTAAGAAAAAGAAAGTGAATGAGGTTAGCAAAATATTTAATTTGAAATGTGCAGAGTTAAAACCCATAGATACTTCTACTCTTTAACTCTTTTAACCCCTGTGAAAATGAGATTGCCTTATCACCTGAAGATTTTAAGAGTTCAAAGTCAGTGCATCTCTTCCTTTCCTAGAAAGGGGGGCTCCTCCCTCAGTGTGTTTCACAACTAAATAATGCATCTTCACATATGTCCAGGTGCAGAGATATAAAGAAAGTTCAGAAAATAAATTAACATTTGATGATTTCTGTGCCGTCTTTTTTTTTTTTTTTTTTTTTTTTTTTTTTCTTTTTTCTCCCTTTCTTATACAGAAAGGAAATCAGAGCAAATCAGTGTTGAAAGCCCAATTTTCGAGGGGCTGCCTTCAGTGAACAGGCTACAGGTAAGGGCCGAGTCTGTTCGACTGCTTGCGGCCTCGGGGATTCCAATGTTGAAAAAAGAACACAAAAAAATTAAGACTCTCCACAAGAATTAACCGAATTACACTTTACATCACCGATTACAGTCATCCACTACGCGTCCCCCACACCTTAACACGGGAACCCACAGGCCCACGCAGGACCCCGACCCGCGGATGCCTCGCAAGCGGCTTCACAGCGCGGACAACCGCCGTGTGCGTCTGCCTCCCTCCACCCCCCAGCGGTTTTTGAGGCCGGTTGCTCGGTTTTTACCGCTTTACAAGTTATCGAGAGGCTCCGGAGGGGAGGGGAGAGCGCGGGGCGGCCGCGCCAGAGGGGCCGGGGAGGGCGCCCGGGGCCGGGCCGGCCCCCTCTGAGGAGCGGGGGGCGCGTCCCGGGCCGCCCCGCTCCTCCCTCCTAAAACCCGCGATTCCCTCTGCGTGCTGTCACCTGCTTTGAAAGAAATACGGGTGTTCGGGGAAAGGCATCGGGACTCCGCACACGCTTGAAAACGGTACGTGGAAGCGTAGGTGCGTGTTAGTTGTCGCTGCTCCCTGCCCTGCTGAAGCATCTTCTGTTTAAAGGCAAACAAAATAGTTGTCCCCTGCAAGCAGTGGCCTCACATTTCTTCTGCTCTCACCCACCACCTCTGTCCCTGGCCTGCTGCTGTTGAACCTGTCAGTTATGTTGTAAAGAAAAAAAGAGCCAGACAGAGGCTGAAGTAGAGTACGGGGGCTGAAAATTCCGTCCTGAGCATCTATGACATTAGTCCCATTCCTGAAAGCCAAATTAAAAAAGGAATCAAGTGCTTACAGCTTTAAAAATTAATTCCCAGACTAGTTATGAATAATACCAGACAAATGAACCGAAGAGTCAGTGAGGTAGAATACGGTAAACACAATGTGAATGTGGGTTTTATAAAATCATCAGTTAGGAAAATGAGTTGAGAAAACAAAGTGTAGAAGTGGCCATTAACGTTTGAGCTCGTTCATGTGGACCGAACTGAGTCTTTATGTCTTGTTCATGAAGAAAGGTAGGTCTTACTCAGATCACTCGGAGAAGAGTGTTGGGCATTCACCATTGCCAGCCAGAAGTGCAAGGCACAGGGCTTGGGGTAATTTTGGCTTTATAAATACAAACCTAATAGGTTAGAATTTGCCTGTTTCTTTAAAGTATCAAGCATGTCTGTTTATATTTTTATTATTTTTTTGAGAGCTGTGTCTGCCCTGGGAGCACTTAGGTCATTGCCAAAATATGAATACTGATACACGAGGAAAGAATTCGGCGTGGACAAAGATGAATTGTCAAAGCCCTTTAGTGCTGTGGGGATGCAATTGGTATCTATATACAGTTTTCCATATTATTTTTGAAACTGTATCAGTCAAGAATAGCTCTAATTGCTAACATTGCTTTTGCTAAAAGTCCATGATGTACTAGAAGGGTTTGAGTCCATTGGTGTTGAGTTTTGTGACATAGACATCCAAATAGAGGAATTATTCTCAAATCTGTTGGTGCTCGATGATGGATGTATTATATTATCAGTGACTTTGGTAGATTTCTGAACCACACTTCATGACTAGCCTTAGACATAGGCTTTTTTCTTCTCTGGTTAGTAAACCTATCTAATCATAGTGAAAGAATATTGGTAAGAAATGCATAGCATCAAAAAATCCTAGCCCAGGAATTTCTAGAGGTTTTTTTAAAAAGATTGTATGTCAATAGGATCTCAAAATTTATCTCCATTTATGTTTATGATGGAACAGACAATTCCCTCTGCACTTGGCAATCAAACTTTATTGTGTGACCCATATGGTTGCCTATAAACAGAATAGTATTAGGAAAGTTTAATAAATTTTGCAGCTCTCAGTGCCACTTAGCAGCAAGAAACAAAGGGACCCATTTATTTCTTTTTTTCAAGCTGTCCTCCATATTAAAGGTAGTTGGCAATTAGTTTGGGGACAGCTTTTCAAAAGAAATTTGAGTGACCCACAGACATGTTCTTTCTGTGCGAGGATGTATATCAAAAATCTGCAAAGGTTTTTTTAATATGAGAGATTATTGCTCATTTTTACTGTACTAATACCAGAGACCTAGAGATACACATTGTAATCAGCTTTATACTTTAATTGAAGGCACAGGATGTTGAACTTCACTGTGTGATGCTGTGAATGGGAAGCATTCCAATTGTGTCTGTAAGGATAATATTCTGAAAATGCAATGTGACGTAAAATTTCCCATCTTAATTAAGGTGGACTTAAGTAATGTGGACACAGAAATTAGCACCAAACTGGTTTTAGTCTTCAGTCATGATGTAATGCCTCAAACACTCCAGTCGCTCCTGTAGTTGGTTATCAGAACTAATTAGATGGTTCCCAGACCTCGGACTGACAAGTTTTTCTTCATCTTTGTGTCTGGTTGCTCCAGACAAAAAACCTGTTGTCCTCTTATTAGCTGTTTACAAGCCTAATGGGTTTTAAATGGTATTTTTTGAACATTTGGAGAACAATCTCTGCAGGGTTGTTACTGGTGCTCAGGCAAACAAAGTGCTTGTTTAGTGAGCAAAAGTGGGTGGCCAGCAGCATCATCCTGTAAAGACTTGGTGGTGTAAAACTTACTAAGGTTTGTGCTGGTTTTGGCTGGGGTAGAGTGGATTTTCTTCACAGTAGCTGGGGCTTGGTTGCTGGCTGAGGCTAAACTGTGACAAGATTATTCTCTTTTCCAGATACAGATTGTGCACTGCTGGACTCTGCTAAAGCCACTCATTGTTCTAAATAGAAATATTTAATGTCTGGTTAGATGTTTGTGCATACCTCTCTTGATTTAATATATAAGATATAATTTATAGATAAAACATAGAAGATATCTAAAATATATCTTTGTATTTTAAGTACTTTGCTCGGAATACATCAAAAATTACCGGAGATGCTGCATGTCTTGTGTGCTTTCTCTTAAAGGTCTTTGATTCAAGAGGAATGTTTGTCAGGGTTCTTGACTTGAAGTTACTGAGCAGAAACCTAGCTATTTCAAAAATTGTGTTTCAGTCATTTGTAGGGCACTCATAACATCTCGAGGACACAACTAAACCAGTAAAAATACTGTGTTTCTCTTACCATTCCCAGTGCAGTGGGACCCCCACATCGTTGCAGCAAGTTATGAAAACTTGTTTGTTTTTCCCTCAAAAACAATCCATAATTGAGTTTTAACTTTTTTCCCCCCTTGAATGTATATTGGCATATTTTTGGTTTGGAAAAGTGCTCGCGTGCTTGTCCATTTTGGGGAATCTTGTCTGCCTTCTGCCTGCCTGTTCCAATGGCATTTTGCCTCAATTCACGGTGGTGTGTACGCAGGGGTAGGGCACACATGTGAAGAAAGTGTTGGGGGTGAGGACCTGGCGTTTGGAAATGGGGATATTCCACCAGTTTTCATTTGCTCACACCTCTCACCAAACCTGTGTGAACCTGCCTGAACTAGGTAGGCAGAAGGAACTGAACGGTCTGAGAGGTTTATGGCTGCGGAAAAAAGAGACTAATTTTGTCACCAAAAAAAACCAAAAGCAGATCAAAATACATGCTATTCATGAATGCGCAAACACAGATTCCCTAGCTCAAATTTGTCTTCTCTTAGACATTTTCCTTACATTTACATTTTGATGACTTCATCATGTTATTAAAAGTTACATAGTTTGGAAATAGGAAGGTGTGGTAGGTTAGAGTTAACCTCATTTTTCTTGGTGCTGTTAGACTTTAAGAGTACTAGTAAAAATGTAAGGGTATTGTACTCAAGAGTGTAAACACTGAAGGTGGAGTTACAGTACAGATTGTTAGTAACATCAGAACAACAATCTGTAGTACAAAGAGCTATGCTCAAAGTATGTTTTTACAAGAATGTTGGATTTTTGAAGTGAAGACTGTTGTGAAGTTAAAGTGACTGAGAAAAGTCACTCATCCCTACCTCCTTCAAGCTTCTAGAAACTGGATGATCAACAGTATTTGGGAGCCAGGCTCTTGAAAGCCATGGGCAGGACCAGTGAGAATTACTCATTTTGAGAATGCAGCCCTCAACAAAGTCCTTGTTTCTTCTTCTGTGTGCGCTTTTAGTCGTTCCCTTTGACTTCACTGGCCTTGGTATTGCAGAATGTCAAAGCCCCACCAGTTCCCTTTGTGTCACTGTTGAGAGCTGGGCGTCTTGTGGAAATGAGCACTTCCATGTCTACTGGTAAGGCGTTCAGAATCAAACACCTCCATAGTGACACCCCATTTTAAAACCTAGATTTAAAAAATGAAGTTTAGAATGCACAAAATTAATGTAGTAGCACGGGTATTGAGTTGCTGGCGGTGGTTTGCTTTTGGTGCCCCTTTCACCACCTGTATTTTGCAGTGCTCTGGCTATAGATGAATGTGGGTCGCTGGGCTTTGGTTACTTGTACCAGATCCTGTTTTGTCCAGTGTGGTCTAAAGCTGCCTTTTGTCTTTTCTCTTTTCATTTTTGTCCAAACAGGTTGGTTTTTGTCTTTGATGTTTTGAGGATTCCAATGCATGTCATGCAAATGAATAGCATTTAAGATGTTCTGTACAATTAAATATTCATAATCACTCATTTTAAAACTAATTTGATAGTATGTAATCTGTCAGGAGAGTAACACAGATAATTAAGGTTAAATGTGCAGTTGGAGAATGGATTCTTGTTTGTGTTACTGCAGTTGTTTACTTTGATGCTTGGTATGTTTGCTTGTGTGTTGTAATAGGCTTTGAATTCATCACCAAAGTCAACTTTTACGGATGTAAGAACTATCATCTTCCATTGTGATGGCAGAATGTATTTTTTCAGCCATGCCTTGTTTACTGTAGATATATCAAAGAAGGCCCATTTATATTATATGTATTGTGTTCAGATGTATAAATGTGTGTATATACACACGCATGTGTTTGTTTTTTTTTTTTTAAATTGAAACACTGCCCTGCACGTTTTCCCCCATGAAAAGGGTAAGACCCCAAATGCATCAAATTAAATCGCTTGATACATCAGCCCTTGCATACTCATTATGATGAGCATAGGGTGAAAACTAGCATGGAAATGAATAGAATAGAATATGTTTTTATAGATAGGAGCTTATTATATTGCTGCACAAGATTGCATTGTAGGGGTTGTTACTCCTTTTACAAAATCTTCTTTAAAATGGATTCTCCTCGATGACTTTCATTATAGTTTCTCCCTTAAGCAGTATTATCTAAAGGCAGCATGTTATTTGTTGGGCTTATCAGGGTGGGTATTCATGTCCAGAGAATGTACGTTAACTGCTTACTCATTGTGTAGGGAGCAGTGCAACTGTTAGCAACTCAGTTTCAATGAAGCTGAGCTATTAAAGTCACTGTTCAGTAGAAAGTCCTCTAGATCTAATTTAGATAAATCCCATTATTGTGTTTCAGAGTTCTTATGCAGTTATTTGGTAAATAATGAAGGTTCTGTTGCTGAAGGATCCCAAAGACAAAGACTCAGGACCAGATCCATATATTAAGGTGAGTAAACTTTATAAAATGTAAGCAATTGTGTCACTTCACTATTAAATAATAGTACCACGCATTCAGTAACATAGATGAATTTAACTGTTTCAAGTGAAAAATGTGCTTAATAAAAATGGGGAGTGCGTGTCTGAAATTATACTAAGAAAAAAAATTGTGCTAGAAAATTTGCTGTTACTGAAAAAAGTATTTTAGTTGTGGGGCATGAGTATTGAGTTCATTGTTAAAGCTCTCAGCAAAGATAGAACTGCACAGTATATTACTGTTGCTGTAGTCCTTTCTGCTGTTGCCTTTAGTCATGTGGCTACAGGAATATTTGCAGGACTAGGTGATTGTTTATCATAAAGGTTACAGGAATATTTGCAGGACTAGGTGATGGTTTATCACTTAGGGACTGCAGTTACGTGTACACTGTAACTCTGCAGTAGCTATGTAGGAGGCCTCAGTTCCATAGCTGTTTGTTTTTAGTATTATGTTGTAATACTAAATAACTAACAAAACCAAACTAGATTCTCTAGTAAAAGCAAATAAGATGCTTTTGTATTTTACTTTAGTAAAAAGAAAAAATTGTCCTGACTTAGTCAATTCTTTGAAAAAGAAAAAGCTCCTGTTTGAAATCTATTTCAAGAGCTGTAAACCTTTTTTTTGATAGGAATTAGGATTATATGGATTTGAAGCAACTTTGATTCCAGTTTTGTCATTTGAATTTGTCTCTCTTGAAAGCTTATTTGAAAAGGTACGTTTTAAATTATTTCAGTTGTCTTATTTTCAACAGAATTTAGGCCACGGTTGCCAAGATGCCGTGTCTTGTCTTGATTTAATAATGCCCTTTGTGGTATCTCTTTCTGTGCTTCCACAAACACAGGTGTACAGAATACAACATTGTATACAACATCAAGTATGTTGCCCATACTTGTTGAAGAATTAAGTTGGTGAGAGAGAATTCATATTTAAGTGGATGGCCCCTAGATAGTTACAGGTAGTGGGGCATTTTGTCGTAACAAAAAATTATCAGACGGTAGTGACAAGGAAAGTTTCCCTGAGGTTCACCCTTACATCGTACTGAAATTGTGTACAGCATCTCCTAATTATATGGAATACAATCGCATAATTGCTGTTCTCTCTCTACATTCTTCAATAAATGTATTTAGTTTTAAAACGTTGAAAAGGTTTTCTGAGGCAAGTTTCCTTTATTGACAATCTCCAACAGCACTGGACTTTGTTAGGTGTTTGAATGTATCATGATCTGCATTTACAAGTGATCCAAGAACATTTTTCCCTTTTTTGTGCTGACCTTTGAGTGCCTGTTAGTAACCTTAACTGTTCTCTGAGGGGGCCCGGAGCAAGGAGCTGTCTGGGTAGGACCCTCTGTGTTACTATTTGGAGTAACAGTTCGTTTCTCTCGTATGAATTTGCAAGTACCTCATATGTTGTTTTCCCATCCTTCCAGCTCATTTCAGTGGTGGGAATCCTTGTCCGTTCCCACAGATTCTCAGAATTAATATAATCTGTCCAAGTTTTGTTCTGAATTTAAGATTTGTTATACATTTCTCCTGTAAATACTCTGGATACTGATATTAATGAAATATTTGCCTGTTTCAGTTTCAGATATTTATTGAAGCTGTTTTGTTCATCACAAGATTATAAAGAATTGATCAACTTAATTTTTAATTTTATTTACTCCTTTTTTTTTTTTTTTTTTTCAATTTACTTCTTATATTTACTGTTTATAAGTAGCTTTCTCATCCAGAATGTTACGGAGGCCTAGTTTTTACCAGTCCAAGAGCATTAGAAGCTATCAAGATATGTTTAAAAGAGAATAGTAAAAATGAAGGTAAGTACACTCCTTGATTTTTCTGTTTCGGTATTTTGTAAAGTTTGTAATTTTATTTCTCTCACCAGTAGGTGTTTGGAGTATGCCTTTTTTTAAAAACGCTTTATCTCATAGTTCTTTTGGCATCAAAAGGCCTCACACTAAATTGAGTTTTTAAGGGACCCAGTGTTGGATTTTCCACATTTATGCTGTTAGAAATGAAAGGAAAGCTTTTGATGCAAATTGTTAATTAGTGTGGGGTTCTTTGATTGTGGTTATCTTTGCTGATGCTAAAAGCAGTTGTAAGCAGAAACTCATGCATAAGGAATATTTTACTGCAGTGCCTAGTTTTTGCTTACTGCTTTTCTCCCTGAAAGAGAGGAGCATGTTGTAGAAACTGGCTACTGTTACTTCTGTGCTTGTATTATTCATATGAAGTCTTGCAGAAAAAAATTTCTCTGTCTTGAATGTAAAATTCCTCAAGTAAATTAAGCATTTGCTAAAACGAGGTGAAGAAACGGTCATACATAAAAGCCAGCAGATTAGTTGTAAGAATCCTGCAGAGCGCTAAATAGAAATTACCGTACCAATGATCTATCAAATCCTTAGAAACTCGTCTGAATTCTTCTGCTAAGTGATCACTTCTGCTCTGAGTTTCTGTGTACACTTAAATTGTATCATTACTTTATCAGCCCCATGTTTGGGCTGTCGTCACAGTAATCAACGTACAGTGAGTAAGGTTACACTCTTTAGTAAGGTTATTTTAGCATTTTCAACAGCAGAGGGCTGTGCTTTAGGACTTTTGGTCGAATGTAATCTCTTACCAAGAGTTCATTCCTAATTTCAATTAGGGCTTTTGGGAGCTGCTGAAATACATCTCTGAATCAATAATACGAGTCTTTACTTCCTATTTGGGTTCCTTTCAAAGCTAATCAATCCCTACTTTTTTCCTTCTTTAGGAGAATTCCCTCTTTTTTTACTGTTATATTAGTCTCTATTTCTAATTATTCTTTTTTTACAATACTGGGCCAGAACTTGGTGTCCTGTGATGTAGTGGTTTTTAGACAAGATAGTAACCGAGTATCTATTTTTGACCCATTAGGATTTCAGGCGTAGGGATGAGGTAGTTGGGTCCAAGAAGTGTGATATACTTATTGCCTGAAGGAAGAAAACCATTTCTTGGTAATTTTATTTTGGTCTCTGGTACATTTTACTTCTGAGCTGATAACTTACTTTTGTTGTTTTTTTAAAAATACAATCAGTTTCCATATTTTTCTTGCGTAAGAGTTGCTTTATAGAGTACTGTAATTGATATAGATTTTTACCACTTTATTTGTTGTCATGGAAGATTATATTTGGGTTTTGCCTGTCTTCAATTTTAAATGCCAACTTGTATGTCTAAATCTCCCTTTATGTACTATGTGCTGTTTTTTCCTACAAGTTTTGATGCTTTTTAAAGTTCTTAATGCCAAAATATAAATGAACATTGCAAGCTGCATGTAATCTGGCATAGGGCAAGTGTGCATTAAAAATGCTACTTAACAAAAGCAGCTAAGTGTTTACTCAAATTAGGGTTTTAAAAACTTTTGTAGACTACTATTTACACAAGGAAAAAATTACATTAAAAATTCATTTTGTATATCCAGATTTGCTGAAATACGTAGTGGAGTATTAGTTGTTATTATTTTGCTGTATTTGTAGATTAAACAGAAGTCCAAATATTCATTTAACATTCGTATTTTGTTGCCAAGTGTTTAAATTTAATTTAATGTTTTTCAGCCTGGTCAAAATCTCTTAAACAAAGATGGAATACTAAACCAGCATACGTGGTTGGAAAAGCTACAGCTTCTCTAGGTAAGCTGGGGTTTAAAAATAGAAGTCTTAGATAAATCCATCTTGTAAGTACAATTTCTTGAATATTAGCTGCTATTCAGGGGTGCTTAGAAAAAAATGTAGGTAAATTTTATAAATGGATTATTTTGAAAACAGGTAATTGTATACAAATTAGAATTGTACATACTTACTAAAGCTAAGGTCTAGCTTCTGGATTTTCATTACTGCTATTGTAATGTGACAGTATCGACTAAGAATTTGGCCAAAAAAAAATATTTGTTCTTAATTTGCATGTGGGTTTTTTTTCATTCACTTTGGAAATTAAATTGGATTAAAGGGCTTATAGTGTGATTGTCTGAGGTTGTACGAAGTGAGATGCTCTGGCCCTTCGTTCCCTCAGTGTTCCTGTGAGGTACTTGCTGAACAGAAGGCAGCGGTTTATATTTATTTTTCTTGACACTGGTTTTAATCTGATGCAATACGTATTTTCAGTGCATAACAAAAATATAGTGTAGATTTTACTTTGTGAAAGCCTTTGTTACTGTAAAAATGCATTGTAGCTTCCACTGAACCACATGGGAAATATTATGAAAAGACTTAGCATTTGAGAATTTTAAGTCTTGATGTTTTTCTGCTTCTAGGCCAAAAATAATTTGGGTAAGGAGCGGCTACCTCTAGAAAAAGCATATTTTTTCAGGCAGGCTGGTAACAACACTGGATCACCAACCAGTGTCATATAACAAGCAATTTGAGTCAGTCAAGTCCCAAATTCATAGAATCACAGGATGGTTTGGGTTGGAAGGGACCTTAAAGATCATCTAGTTCCAACCCCGCTGCCACGGGCAGGGACACCTTCCACTAGACCAGCAACTTCTCTGGAATTCTTCCTCTATCTGCTCACTTGCTTAAGTAAGACCACTGTTACACTCTCAGATTTTCCGATGGGATTTCAGCCTTCACTACAAAGAGAAGGAGAATACTCACTGGGAAGCCACCTGCAACCAAACCATGCCAGGATCTGCAGCCCCTTCGGCAGAGTCAGTGCTTTCTGTTTCACCACTTCAGCTATGAGAGGTTAAAAACTCTCCAAAACAGCTTAACTATCCCCCAAAATTCTTCTTTTGTATTTTTTTCAAATATGCCTTTCTAGAACAAAAATTGAATGTTTCGTAGCATGGTGCTCTTTCAAAGGATCTGATTTTTTGTTTTTCAAAGAGGTGTTTGTGTGCGTGGATTAAGTTGTTTTCAACCCGTGTTTCTGTGATAATAAATCTGAATTCTTTTCACTGATTTCATTCTTTGCTGCTTTTTGTCATAGTGGAAGAAATTGGTCTGATTCCACAAGGAGAAAAGTCTGGAAATGCTGAAAAACTAGCTGAATATATTTGCTCCAGTAAGTATCTACAATCTTCTACTTAAGTTAAGCTAATATACCTTCTGTTGTTACAGAATTTCCTATAAATGAAATCAAGTGTGCACTGAAGTGAAGTACATACTGCATATATCTCTTCTATGTAGAACTTGTGAATTCAGCTTCTGGGAATGTGGGTGATGTCTCTAAAAGATGATAAAAAATACTTTGAAATACCTATACAAAATACTAATTTACATTAAATCATCGACTCTGTAATTGATTTATAATACTATATGACCAGGTAGACGAAGTTTTTTTTCACTAAAAGATCTGAGCTGTAATGATTGGAAATTGCTATGTTCATAAGAATATATTCATAATATTCCTAAGAATTGCTGTAATCATAAAAGTTAAATGATTGTGACTATAGGTGTGCTGGTTCTCTGTGAACTTCAGGATACCTGACTTCCCTTGCTTCACACCAGTTGATGCTGGGGATTTTTCACCGTGGCATGGTTCAGACTAGATAAGGGGAACTCCCTTCCTCGGAATGAAAGATGTAGTTTCAGAGGAATCTGTTTTTCAGCACCAAAGGAGAGTGGTTTTGAAGAAGTTGCAGGAAGTGTTAGTTAAGATGATGGTTAATGTTTTGTTTAACCATTTCGTTATGGTTGAAGCTGTAATGCAGATTTGTTTGCTGCTTCTGAATGTATTATCAGATTGTCAGGTAATTTAAAAGTGTAGTTAGTCTATTTCCTAATTCTTTTTGTACTGTAATTTCTTAACATTTCCAATAGTAATACTGTAAGAGACATTTTTAGGCTTAGGGGCTGAATATTTTTGGGCTGGATGGGTTGGTACAAGCTGTGAAAAAGAAAAGCTGTGTTTTTGTACAGCCTGGGTTATAGAAGTTGGGTGAAGTATGTCAGAAGCAGGAGCTGCCAGCGCGGTGAGTTTGACCTCAGAGCTTCTGGCACAGGTGGTGGTGTTCAGGGGATCCAGGACTGAGGTGTGTGCTGCCTTCAGAGCGTCTGTCTGAGCATCGCCTGAGAGGAACAGTTATCAAAACAAATCAGCAGAATTAGTCCCCAAGCACTCTGTAACTAAAATAATCTAAATAAGCTAAAATAACCTCTGTACCAGATGAAAATCACACCTGAGGTTCAGTGTCTCAGCAGCATCCTGGCAGATCCTTCTCTGGACTTTTATATGACCTGGGGTGCGTCCCCGCTCCTGTGAGACACAGGGAGCTGTACAGGGGAGTCTCACAGTGACCTTAGAGGGTAACTCTCAGCCTGATACAAAGGCATGATGTCCTTCACTGAAGGACTTTCTGCCCCAAATTTAAAAAGGGACACAGAAACCTTCATCTAGCAGCTGACGCAGCGTCCACTAACTGACCAGAGTTATTCCAGCTAAATAGTCTGCCTTTGGCTAACACTCATCGGAAAAACAACTGACAGTCAGTGCAATTATTCCAGATGTTGGATGAATTAACGTATCTGCTGGTTTAAAAGCCTGTCTGCTGACCACACTTGATGAACTTGCTGAATACGGTGCTAGAGGCTTCACTTGTGGAAATGATGTCAAGAACCCCGACACGTTATTTTTGGCTGTTAGGCATAAGTTAGATATGAAAGAAAGTGTTGATTTGCAAAATCTGTGTAGTAGCAGAGATTCATAGGTAAAAGAAAAATGTGACTGGAGCTGGCAAGTACTGTTTTTTATGGGCAGAGTGCTTTTATTCACTGGCAAATAAAATATTTTAACTATATGGAGTATTTCAGGATAAAAATGATAGTTGCCAACATAAGATTAAATAATAAATTCTGAAAATTAAAAAGGAAATTTTCAATACAAAAATGCCGTAAGTGAAGAATATCCCATATCTACTCTTCAACAGATATTTTAAAACAAAGGTTTTAGCTGTTTTTTTTAGTGCTAGGCAATCTGCTTCTGGTAATGAATTAATGTTTGCCAGTTTGCAGTTGGAGGGTTTTTTTCGAGAAGGAAAATGAGAAAAATACCCATCTCTTCTGTTGTATGGATGTGAAAAAACCTTAGGCTCAGGTCTAAAGGAAACGATGGGTGTAGTACCAGGAGTGAAAAAATTCCTTATGGGTGAGCCTGTGAGTGGTCCAGTTACTGCATCACAACTTCTTGGTTATTTTCTCAGTCCAGTTGAGGGTCGTCCTGGCTCTTCCTCCTCCCCTGGGAGCTGCTTGGTTCCCAGAGCCCGTTACCTGTGAGCGTGTTGGCTGCCCTGGCCATTCCCCCTTTGCCTGCACACTCCTGCAGGGTTCCATAGGATCTGGCAGGCACAGAGCGTGAGGGCACTTCAGTCCAGAGCCAGCAGCACCTTCTGGTAGCCACGGCTGGGAAAGAGAAGCCTTTTACCCAGAGTATCCCAAGGGCGGCTCATCCCGGAACACCAGCAGGCTGTTTAAATTAACAGATTGCTGCAGCACTTCCATTATCCGTGCAAAAATGACTGCCTTTGAATAGCCTTCAGTTCTGATAACCAACCGGTGGATTTCAATCATCGGAGACTGCCTGATGTTGATAAATATAGTCATACTCGGTGATTTATTGGATTGTGCATATTTATGCACTCTCAATTCATCAAGTGGTTTATAACAACCTCTGCAGTACAGATTAAATTACATCTTGTTTCCTATTATGTATATATTTATTGTTTCTCCATAAAATTATAAATAAGTGAAGAGAATAGCTCTAAATTTTTTCTATCATTAGAATTTATTGTCAGAATAAAAATAAAATCTGAAGCCATGATGTTTCTTTTGTTATTCACCTTTTGCGCTTTGGTACCCACTTGAACTTAAGTGATTGGGAAAATAAAGGAATTTACTCCTTAGCTGGCTTTGCTCTCTTTCCAAGGCAAATATTTTTTTAGTTTTATTACAGTGTAACATGGGTACAGAAGTAGCAGGTACCACTGGGGCCAATGCTTGCTGTATTCTTCAGGCCTACTAAGAAATTCTGCGCTTGGTAAACACAAGTCAAAAAAGGATTAGTGTTTCTTCAGAGATACCACACTGACATTTCAATTAACTGACATGACTGGTAGCAGGATTAATGCTGAAATATTTAGGTTTGATCTTACTATTTTAAAATCTCTTTTACATTCTCTCCCAAGTTCAGTCTTCCTTCCTATAATTTATTACAAGCACATCTATGGTTTCTAATAAAACTTCCGTGTACAGTTAGGACAGTCAAATATATCTGTGTGGACTCCTATGAGGGTCTTACCATTTGATTTTTACTATGCTGTCCTTTTGTTTTTTACCCTGAGGCATCTCTGATCCTTAATGTTATAAACCAAGAGTCTACTTCCAGCACTTCAAAAAAAAGCATTTATTTTTCTAGTAGTCATCTCTTAAACATATGAATTAGTAATAAAATAATGTGTTGAGGAACTCTCATTTATTTTGAAAGATGAATATAGCTGTGTGCAGCTGTGTAGAATTTAATTTTCTCCGTATTTGTTATTTATAGAAAAGGTAAACTGTGCAAAAAAAAAAGTCTGCTGTTAAGTCCCTATCTAAAAATCTAATTCTTCCTTGATTAAAATGCTCTTTATCTTTGCAAAGTGTCAATATTCTCTTTTATTAGATAACATCTAGTGGTGAAAGACTTTCCAAAACAATTGGTTTAAGCCCTAAACCTAGCAAATTATTGAGATTCTCATATAGTTAGTGCTGTTTCCTTCTTCCAAGCCAGGTGTTCACATTCACCACGTGCTGGGTATTGTCAGTGTTTGCACTTTCCCCTCTCAGGTGTGTGGGTGTCCGCAGAGTGCACAGGGACAGGAGGTGTAAACCCGAGAGATGGCAACAGGGATGCTCTTACCTGCTGGTATTTTTTAAGCAGAATTTGTTTACCCCTCTGAGAACATATTAGAAACATACAAAAGCGATGGGAGTTAAATGACAAAGAGCCGTGTGTCAGAAAGGTCCTTCCAAAGGGGCCTTTCACATGGTGGCAATGTAACATTAATTAAAGTGGGAGGTGACTTCCATTTTTAAGGACAAGAGCATGTGAGGATATCCAGTTCCACCCTGGCAGTGGAAGTAGAATAATTTTTCTTTGAGGAAGTAAGAAAAGAGAATTTCAGATCATAGAATCACAGAATGGTTTGGGTTGGAAGGGACCTTAAAGCCCATCCAGTCCCACCCCCCTGCCCCGGGCAGGGCCACCTTCCACCAGCCCAGGGTGCCCAAAGCCCCGTCCAACCTGGCCTTGAACCCTGCCAGGGAGGGGGCAGCCACAGCTTCTCTGGGCAACCTGTGCCAGGGCCTCACCCCCCTCACAGGGGAGAATTTCTTCCTTAGATCTCATCTAAATCTCCCCTCTGTCAGTTTAAAGCCGTGACCCCCTGTCCTATCCCCACACCCCTGATCCAGAGTCCCTCTCCTCTTTCCTGTAGCCCCTTTCAGCCCTGGGAGGCCGCTCTAAGGTCTCCTTAAGACAGATTGAAACTCTTCAGCACAGTATTTCTGTCCTCTTCTTTGCCTGAACATTCTTTTACATAGAGAGAACTGTCATGTGTTGAGTGGGACTAAGATTTTAAATAGAAAAATTGAGGAAGATTGTGTTCCTTTGGAGGAGGAGGAGATAACTTGCACAGTAGGTTTTTTTTTTTTCCTTTGTAGAATGGCAAGAGGAATAGAAATGCAGTTTATCTTTCATGAGATCTTTTTATCCAATGTATTTATATTATAGTTATGGAATATTTTTTAATTTACATGCTAAGTAGCTTGTGTCCTCTGAATTGTGGATGCAGTTGCACTGCAAATGTTTTCAGTTATCTTAGGGCTGTGTCTGTGGTGGAGCACGTGGCATTTACTGCAGCGTTCAGTGTTTTATACCTTTAAAATGTATTAAATGTATTGTTTAGTCTTTATTAAAAAGATAAGTTAATTAAATTTCTTCTTTGTGTGTTTACAGGAGAGAAACCTGATTCCTCAGCTCTTCTTTTTCCTTGTGGAGCCCTGAAAAGGGAAGTACTTCCTACAGCACTTAGAGAAAAAGGTTGGACTTCCCTTGGAGCCTCATTTTAATTAGTCAGTTATGAAAAAAGTTGTATCTAAACCACATTTGAATGAGTAAAAATTGAATTTGTTCTTATGTTGGCTAGAAGTTAGAGGATGGGAATAAAAACTTTGAGGTTGGCTTGCTGCCCACAGCTCTGGGAACAAGCTGTAGTGTGACACGAGCAAGGTTATTTGCTTTGTTCTTCACTTGCGTTCCCTTCTGTGAGGTGACAGGTAGCTTATTCACAGGAATGTTGCAGGACTGGCCAGTTTTCCCCTGTGCTTCCAGGTCCTCTGATTACAGATGCTTTAGGAGATCTCGCAACTGTAGAAATACTACAAATCCCTCACAGAATTTTTTCTGTATCTTTTGAGCCTAAAATAGTACACTTAAGTGCAATTATTCTGTTGAGAGTGTTTTATTGAACAAACAGAAATGAATGAAACCCTGTTTAATTATGGATGTATATCCTGATTCCAGGAGTACCTCTGGAAAGCCTTACTGTTTATCAGACAACCCAACACACTGGCCTGCAAGAATCTTTGAGCTGTTATTTCTCACAGCAGGTATTGGATGCTGATGTAATTTGAGAATTTTGGAGGTATATGGTAATACCTAGCAGAATATACTCTTTTTTTTTTCCAGCTGTCTGTAAATGATACTTGGGGGGTACAAGAACATCCTGCATAGGCTGCTTGTTTTGTTTCCCTGATGATGACCAAGAAGATCCTTTAGGGAAAGTTTCAGATAGTGAGTCTCTCAGTTACTTGTTAGGGCGATTATAAACCAGCCCAAAAAGACACGATGCCTCCATTTGAAGAAGAAAACAAAACCTTTCACGTTTTGTCTCATTTTCAAAATACATGTACGTTCGGAATCACTGGGAAATAACTGCACGTATAATTACATATTCAGTTTATTCCTTTGAGCTGGACGAGACTGCTTTTTAAGTAATACTATGTCAGTAATTACATTTAGAGAGGATATTTATTGAACAGCGTTATTACTCATTTTTATTAGTGCAACTGAAACGTCACTGGACATCTTTGCTGTATATTACAAATCAGAATTCAGGAGTAATCTGCCCTACATAGTTTCAGTGTTTCTTCTCTGATTACCAAATCTATGAATGTATTATCTCATTTTAAGTGTTAGAATTCCAGGTGACATGCTGTTGAGAAATGTCTTGAGATGTATTTGCTAGAATTTCTAATGTTTTTCTCTTTTTAAAACCCTCTAATGTCATTAAGCAAGAATTGCTTTTATTTTTTCAAGACTGGCTCTCTGAATTTTCCATTTGTAGGAGCCTACATGATACGTAGGATTAATTTTATTCAAAATACAGCCTTTCCTTCTTACAGAAACCTGGCATGCTTGAGCGTGTTGCACCCCTTTTTAAAATCTGTGCATTAATGTCTTGTTAAATTACATATTGATTTTAAAGTTCTGTTTCAAGAGGTCCTAAAAGGTTATGGCACGGCCAGTCTGACTGATACATGGTAGTATCCTGGTGTTCCTCGGTGGGCGTTGCAGATCTGATCCCCACCATATTTAGTTTATGGCAGCTATAAAAGTAAGTCAGTAGTACATATGCATGTTGTAACTTTCTGAACTCTTTTTACGGAACTCCTTGTTTGCTGTAATTAGATGTTAGTGTCAGTGCAAAGCTGTTAAAATGTGTCTCATGCTCTTTTTAGTTGTTCTTAACTGAGGATATTGTGGTTATATGTTTAGTGTGTGGAGAGCTGACACAGAATGACAAGTGTTTAGCACTTTGTGAGACAATGAACAGCACTGTGTTAAACTGTCATTCTGGCCTCCGTGAGCTAAGCCTAGCTTCCAAGTCATGCGCTATAAAATAACAACAGATGTAGTTTGAGTGGAACGAGTGTATCTTTCTTGTCAGACAGAAAATCATGATAAAGCAAGCATGTGCTTTGGGTCCACGAGCTCAGGAGCTTGGGACCTTCACTCCAGACAGAATTTTGCAGTTTTCTTTTGGCTACAGAATGTTTCTGCTGCTCTCTCAAGGCAGGCTTATCCTGAGAGAGAGAAAGCCCTTCCAGGGGTCTGCAGTTTTAAAGCAACACTTCATCCTTGCCAGAGCATCTCAGGGCAGCAGAATTTAAGGTGAACCACATTAGCTGGGAAACAGAGAATATGTGCAGGACTGAGATAGATGGGAATGGATTTAGGGAAATAACTTGCTGAGTTTTCTTGCAAAACAGGAAAATGACCGTGCTCCAGAACTCTTCCAGTACATTTATCAGCAAGTGCTTGTTTGACAAAGTATTTGGTTAAAGTCACCCCTTAATTTTAGCATTCTGTGGTAGAATGGGGGATCGGCAGCCTGTCTGCGCTGCAGGAAGTCCTTTCCTTGGCTTAACTGCTGTTTCTCACCAATAAAACCACTTCACGTCCATATAGAGACAGTTGAAGGGATTTATGTGGAAGTGTATTAATATGCTGCAGGAGCAGTGAGTAATCTATGCCAACCTATGGTTACCTTTTACTCAGGGAATTCCAGCAAGCGTCGTGTTCTTCAGTCCATCTGGTGTTAAATTTTGCCTCCAGCACATTCAGAAGCTTTCAGGGGATTTTATCAACCATATCAAGGTATCTTCTCTTTAAAAGTGGTGAAATACGATAGGGGGTAACTTTGTCGTGGGGGAATGAGAAATGGGAAGAAGGCTGTTACACCTGTCACAAACCTTCATTTTCCCTTTCATTTGTGTTTATTTCACTGAAAATCTGGTTACAGCAAACATATAGATAGCAAATGCAAATGTTACTATATAGCTGAGAGCCTTTTTTAAAAAAAAATTTTCACCTAGAATTTTTTTCCCCGACTCACCCAGTCTCCACTGGGTATAGGCTTGATTTTCTGTTAGTGATGTGAAGGTGTGAGTAGTTCTTGCTTGAATCAGGCTGAGGTATATTGAAATTCCTCTCACTTTTCCTGTTTTGTGGGAATAAGAACTTTACCTCGCCATTACAAACATTTAAATAATCATCATGCCTAAGTAATTTCCAAGTAGCTCAATTGATAGGTGGTTTTTAATATGGAAAATCTTCAAGGTGAGATGGTGAGTACTGTTTAGTAAGCTCAGCCATGCGAGTTGACACAGTGTCAGCAAAGAAGGAAGAGGGAATGGCCTCAAGCTGCCCAGGGCAGGGTCAGGCTGGCTCTGAGGAAGGATTTCTGTGCAGAAGGGGCTGTTGGGCGTTGGAATGGGCTGCCCAGGGCAGGGGGGAGTCCCCGGGATCCCTGGAGGGGTTGAAGAGTCAGGCTGAGCCAGCGCTGAGGGATCTGGGGGAGGCTCATGGTTGGACTGGAGGAGCAAGCTTCAAGGTGTTTTCTAACCTGGATGATTCTTTGAAACCAAAGTGAATGTGGAGGACTGGAGCTGCCAGGGGAGAGGCAGAGCAGGCAGAGGCTACCCAACCACTGGCTGTGACTCAGCCTACACAACTATTTCCTTCCTGTTTGTCAGTGAAAAATGGCAGCTCTAGAGCTTGGTTCACAGGAACTATTTCAGAAAAAAAGAGGAAAGGGGGTAGACTTGCCACAGTTGTATGGCTTTTTAGCCCTTTCCGCCCAATTAGCTGACATAAAGGCCTGGCTGCCCTGCACACACATGAGGGGGAGACCATGCTTCCTGCTGCTCTGGTCATTAAGAAACCAGAGAGGTTCAAGTGCAGAAGCTTGAGTCTTACCCAACCCCTACAGCATTTATAAACCAGAGAGAGCTTAAGACTTGTTAGTAACTAATCTGGCAGGTTACAGATCTGACCTATTGTGTGTGACTCGGTGAAGTACTGTAAAATATCACTTCCATGTGGTTACAGGGAAGCAAGAGGATGTTAAACAACTTCCCCCAAATCACAGGAAGAGACTGTTACTGGTTCTCAGGGCTTAGGCTGAGACTTTTCTCCTGAGCTGGCTGACAGTGCTGTGCCAAACACTAAGAACCTGCAGCATATACGGGTATCTCTGCAGGCAGCTGCTTCTGAAATCAGCAGGACAGGGGAAGGTGTAAAGGGTCTTTTACTCCACCTCCTCTTTACAGCACTTATTTCAGGGATTTTTTTTTTTTTTTTTCTTCTGGAAGTGCAGAACTTCCCTAGTGCTGCCTACTACCCTTCTACCCCTTTTCCTTTCCCTCCCTAAACAGTGCCTGCTACCTCAGATTTTCTCAGGAGAAAACACGCTCTGCAGTACAATGCCAGTAAGACATTTGGGGAGGCAAAATCTCTTCTACAAAAGCCCGTTTCAGCACCTGCTTCAGCCCCAGGAGGAGAGCAGATCAGGAACTCCTCTAACCAGGAATCTCTCTCTATTCTCCACACCTGAGACACTGTTACTGATCTCAGCCCTTGCTTAGACACCCCTCAGCTCTGCTCTGAAGAATTTTTTCTTCTGCCCCTCACCCGGCTTCCTGATAATGATTTCAAGCAGAGTGCTTTTAGCTATCTTACTTCAGAAACCCACCGTGCAAATGCAACTTGGACCTCACCAAAAGCAAGGAGGGTGGAAGGCAGGAAAAGACACAGAAGCCTAAGCCCCCTCTCTGCCTTTTGTTTCAAATCCGTCATTCAAAATCAGAAGCAACAGAGGAGACACAGACAAAGCCCATCATCCTTCATCCTTTCATGAGGTAGTTTTCCTTCTCTTGGGTGCATCCGTGCTCTAGGTTGCATCAGAAACCAGGTTTCATCTGAAGGCACTTGTAAAACAAGGTCTAAATTGCCAGGATAGAAATTGCTAGAAACTGGGGGGTTCTGGGTGAAAACATGCCCTGTACAAAAAGGCATCATCCTGTATCTGTCACCATGAGAGTAAGAATCACCTCCTCAAAACCAGCAGCTTAAGCAGTTAATACACAAGTAGTGAATTATAGAAAGATTTTTTAAAAACACATGTGCATGCACACACACATGTAAAAACTGTTAATACCTGTAAATAAACACTATGTTTATACCATTATTATACAATAACGAACCACATTTATTTGTAGAAAAACATTAAAATATCAAATGTTGTATTTTTGAGAACTTTAAATAATACATATTTCCAAAAAGCAGAGTCCTCACATGCTGAGATTAGGACTACACTCATTTGTTAGTCCTGATTTTGCAGATTTTTTTTGCAGCCCCTGCTGCCTTTCAAATAGTTTTAACTCTGTTGAGCAGTTTGCTTCTCTGGTGAGGGTCATAATCAATAAAAGCAAGACAGGTCCATTTGTGAGTTTATATTTAATAAATAAACTTTTATTTAAAAATATGCTCTCATTTATTCACAGTTTCAAGTCTTAAAAAGATAATACTATTCTTGATCAATTCAAACACAGCTAAAACCATTCACTTTCTGGCACAAATTGAAGTCCCAGTGATGGCTAACGTTTGCAAGAGTCTTCCATCAAAGCTAGAAAGGCACAGATTTTTGTGCAGGGTAGTAACTGTCATCAAAGTAGTGTGTCCACATATTCAACAGACATTTCCTTGTACAACTTTGGTTCATCGTTACCGGTTAAAGCGTTCCAGTGAAGCCTTGCTCACAAGGTAGATTTCATTAAATATCAAACCAGAGCAACTGTGAGATTACATTTTTATGCAAAACATTTGTATCACTGCAAAGCCCATTACCTGCAAGAGGAAAAACTGGGAATTTCTCCCTACAAACAAAAAATTGTTACGTTTCTATCCAGACCCCCAAACTGGCATTTCAAAGAAACACCAGTAACCAAACCATTGCAGAGTTCTCGCAGGGTAAAAGGAAAATCCTGTTCCTTCCCAGATGTACAGCCTAACAGCGGTGATATCACCTTCAATAAATACAAATACATGGGAAAAACTGCCACTGATCCCATGCAGAGCAAGGCACTGGTTCTACTGCTGAGCAGCGTTTCAGTCACTGAGTTCCTCCATTACCAGCTTCGTTACTTTGAGTCAGCTGTTCCAGTAAATTTAGGATTACCTCGATTCGTTCCAGCAGAGTCATGCTTTTGTTAGCAGTTGCACGCAACAGCAGGGAGTAAACTTGCTTGTTTGTTTTAAGAACAACTTCTTCTTCATTAATGCCCCTGAAAAGAAAACAGATATTACAAGCTACTGAGCACATTTTATTCTGCAAATTATCAAACCAATTATTAGGTAACAACACTGATGCCTATCCCTGCGAAACCCACGGCTGGTGTTTTGATTTGAGTTTTATTTCCTCAGTTCCATCTCCTGCCGTTTCACAGCACTGCAGTCAGAGCCTGTTCATACTGCAGGAGAGATAAGATGTTCCAAATTTTATTCTGCTCCAGTCTGGCCGTTTTATTAACTCGCAATCCCACGTCACATTGGAAACTCTCCGAATCCAGGTCTCCATGCAAAAACTGTGCTTTTGTCCAAGTTAGTGTCTAATCTGATGATGCCAAACAGAGGCAGGCGCCTGAGCGCTCAGGAGATGCGCCCTGTTTGCTCCCCTGCCATGAACTCTCCCCTCCAAACCGCTGTGGGCTTTGATTTCCAGGTCAAGTCTGAAGCCTGCGCTCTGCCCTCGTTCCCTTTGTTCCACACATCCAAACTGTTTCCCTATGACCTGGTGTTCCTCGGTGGGCGTTGCAGATCTGATCCCCACCATATTTAGTTTATGGCAGCTATAAAAGTAAGTCAGTAGTACATATGCATGTTGTAACTTTCTGAACTCTTTTTACGGAACTCCTTGTTTGCTGTAATTAGATGTTAGTGTCAGTGCAAAGCTGTTAAAATGTGTCTCATGCTCTTTTTAGTTGTTCTTAACTGAGGATATTGTGGTTATATGTTTAGTGTGTGGAGAGCTGACACAGAATGACAAGTGTTTAGCACTTTGTGAGACAATGAACAGCACTGTGTTAAACTGTCATTCTGGCCTCCGTGAGCTAAGCCTAGCTTCCAAGTCATGCGCTATAAAATAACAACAGATGTAGTTTGAGTGGAACGAGTGTATCTTTCTTGTCAGACAGAAAATCATGATAAAGCAAGCATGTGCTTTGGGTCCACGAGCTCAGGAGCTTGGGACCTTCACTCCAGACAGAATTTTGCAGTTTTCTTTTGGCTACAGAATGTTTCTGCTGCTCTCTCAAGGCAGGCTTATCCTGAGAGAGAGAAAGCCCTTCCAGGGGTCTGCAGTTTTAAAGCAACACTTCATCCTTGCCAGAGCATCTCAGGGCAGCAGAATTTAAGGTGAACCACATTAGCTGGGAAACAGAGAATATGTGCAGGACTGAGATAGATGGGAATGGATTTAGGGAAATAACTTGCTGAGTTTTCTTGCAAAACAGGAAAATGACCG